ACTCGAACTCGTTCTTCATACACAGCTTTATTATTGCATATTCGCATATTGCATATTCGTGTAAGTATACATGTAATATTACTAACAAGGTAACATACCGGAGTTCAGGAATGTATTTGAATAATTAATTCCAAGAATGAATCAAATTTATTTCTTCGAGTTGAGATATAAATATCGTTTCTCAAATTCTCATTATTTTTTAATAAGTATTATATAATACCTAGCAAATAATAATAATATTTTTAATGGAAATTTTTCTTTTTAAAAAACGAATTTTCGCTTTGACACATTTATCATTAAATTAAAGTCCAGAATAATATGCACATTTGCAATAATATGCACTCTTATTATGCTATAACAGAGTTAGGTTAGTAATAAATCTCATATAAATTGTGCAAAAATAATTGATATTATTCTACATAATATGTATTTGGTTATTTATACCTTATATTCAAACATAGAGGTTAAAAATTAAGAAAGTTAAGTATTAAAATATATATGAGTATATTATGTAATTACAAAAATCATATAAAATAGTTGATTACTTAAAAAAATTAATTAATCATGTACGACTACTAGTACAAAAACATTATTTAAAAATGAAATGGTAATTATAATAACTGAATTATGTAACAGCTCTGACATAGTGTTGTAGGACAAAAAATATTTTAAAAAATATAGTTCGCCGGGATAATATTAATGGCATTCATATATTTAAATGATTTTTTTTTAATTTTCTTGTGTATTAAATTTATATGCACATTTAAAACTGCAATAAATATTTATCTGTATAGTCTATACTAAAATGCTAAACCACTATTCGCGTTATAGACTTATGTAGTGTCTAATAGTAAAAAATATGTATTTAAAGAAGTTAATTAATTAATTACAATTTATAATTTAAAATATTATTGTTTTTGATGTAATATTTTAATAAGAAATTTATTATATAATATTTAACTTGGGCCAACGTATTTTTTGAGAGTTAATTTTTTCGTAAGAATTTTGAAGTCTGGATCACGTATTATTTATGTATTCCTTAACAATTCTGTTGAATTTTTTTTACGCTCTTGGGCCTAATATATTTGTTGTTATATTATGTGGTTCACGGCTCTGTTGTTACTAATCACTCCTAGTCCATACTATTGCCACTTAGACACGTTCATTTCAATTAACCGTGTCATAAAACTCAAGAAAAATAAAGCGTATCAAAACATTTTCTAGAAATAAAAGTTTATAGTGTTATACTTGTATGTATAAGACTAGACATACTATTAATCTTTAATCCATATGTGAACTTAATAAATAGGTACTTCTACAAAGTAAAGAATAGTGAAATACACATTATGCACGTACTTAAGTGCCACCAGATGTAGAGTCAAACATAGTATGCATTGATCTAGATCAGTGGTTCTCAAATGTTTTTGTTTGCAGAGCCCTTTTATTTCTAAAAAAAATTTTCGTATCCCAAAAATCAGTAATTTCTATTTGAGACGACAATAATTGGTACACAAAAAATGATGTTTTATCAAATTCATCAACATTATCATTGATCGATTCTAAATATTCCTTTAAAAGGACGAAATTATAAATTTTATGTCGAGAAAAACACACAGCTCAAAATTAAATTTTTTTTTTTTAAAAAATTCGGATTTTGTCATTTACTATAAAAACTGTGTTAATTAATATCAGCCGAGTAATGAAGTCGAAATAACAACATTTTATCAGTAAGTATAATTTTAAGCTAAATGGGTTTCGGTGAAAAAAAAACATACAATTTATAGCACAATTCAAGTAATCGTACCTATGTTTTTCTTCAGAAACTAAAGAGTATAATACTATTTTAATTTAATTCATTCAGACGTGCCCACGGAACCACGGAGTCCCTAAACTTCTCACGATGACTCCACGGAGCACAGTTTGAGAACCGCTGATCTAAATTGAAAAAAAAATTCATCAGCCGACATCGATAATATGTCAATCACAATACCGGATAGATAACATGTCGATGATGTACAAAACGAACGTATTTACGACAAAATGTCTATAGATAAGAAGTGTATTATATTTACATTCGTATCAATTTAAAATGATTTAATTGTTATATATTTTCTGGAGACAATTATCGAGTTGCCAAGACCTAATGGGGTTCAACGGCGTTTGTAAACAAAAGATACTGGTTATAGATGAAAACCAATGATCACGCTGTCATCGTGAATTATTATTAAATATAATACAATATTAATAATTAAGTCGATTTTTCATAGTTTGTTTGAGTTTGTATTTGTATACAGTTAAATACACCTAATGATAACCAATTTATACCTACTCATCAAAAGTTGTTATCTTTCATTGGTCAACGTAAATGGACGCGTTAATATCATAGTAATATGTCTAAGTAATTTTTTTATAGAGCGGTAATTATCCTAAATACTCGATATATCGAAAATAATACACTATATATAGTGTATTATTTAATATTTATTATTTGTGTACACGTATTTAAGTCAATTAATTTATGTTAATTAAAACATATTTTGGCGAAATTAGTAAAAAAAATAATATGTATATAAATATAGGTAATTACCTTCAACAAATGCACATAAGCTTCTTGTAAAATATGTTGGTATTTGAATATAATATAGGTCAAATAGCGAAGAATAATAATAAAAAATAATAAAAGATAAATCTTACTTCCTTTTATTGAATCATCGTTTATAAAATAACTACAAAACTAGTATTGATTATTAATTGTTTTAACACAAAATGTAACACTTATACTCGTAATTGATCTTATAGGAATCGGATTATATGTATTTATTATTTTTTAACATTCCGATGACGAATAATGTATTTATTAATTTGTATTTTAATTTCAACGCCTTTATGGCTGTTTAACGTCTAAAATGAACTATGCATTAATTAAATAATTACGTGACATCATTTGACGTACAGACATCAATATTTATCGAAAACATACAGTTTATGCAAATACTGTAATATAATTGTTTTAGTCTTTGGGTTGGGTCCAATACTGAGTATGCTTTTGAACTTTCTCAGCTCGTACAAGATAAATTTTCACAGTAAATAATATAAATGAACCCCTAAAAGCCCTTATACGTTCACGCTTGATTGAGTGCTCTGAGGAAAAAAGTAGTATGCCTTTGAACACTATCAGTTTAAATAATATTAACCAACGGCATAAGTATGTTAATTAATAAAGAATTTGAATTTTATATAAATATGTGTATCAAAAGAAATCATTATAAGCATATTTACTCGGGTCTAATTTTAAAATCTGCAGCTCGACGGACTGGTATTGTTTAGATATTAGTATATGTGTAGAATCTACACTGTAGATATTATATATATTACACGTATAACATGTGTTTTTAATATAGGTAATTATGTTATAAGATTGATTATTTAATTAACTGTTAAAAAAATATAAACTTGGAGATTTAATTAAAAATAATATACATATTTAAGCTTTTGGAAAAAAAACTTAAATAAAGATTCGAATAACGTATTGAATCGCAACTGGATTATTTCTTCAATACATATATAAAATATACATGAAATTAGTGCTCAAATAATAGGAGGGACTTAAGAAGTTTAATTTCTCTGTTATAGTATTTTTATCTGAATATTAGAATTTGTCATGTCTAGGGCTCAGAAGTTGATGACCTTAAAAACATTAAAAAATGATCTAAATAATTACAAACATTTGTTTTAAATTAATAAAAATACATTTTTTTTAAATATTTTATTCTATTTTACTATAAAATTCTATATAAATTTATCAAAACTTACAAATTACTCAAAATATGACATAAAAATGACAAAAAATGTCCTTAAAAAAATGACAAACATTTGTTTTATAAATTTATCAAAGCTTATAAATTACTCAAAAATCAAAATCATTGCATTGTATGATTAGAGCATATTTGATATTTTCAAAAGTAAATCAATAACAATTATCTGTTTATAAATATTTATATTTGGAAAAATTTCGTTCCACGCCTACTGAAGTGATTGGGAGACGTAGATGAGCACTAACCAACGTTATAATTTTTGCCATTTCGAAAATATTACGAAAAAATAATAAAATTTAGATATAATAGGTATTATTCACTATAACATGACAATGAAGCGACAACTATAATCAACGAGATAATATCAGATACTAATCGAATATTAGGAAAAAATAATAAAATGTAGTTATAATACTATTCACTACAACACGACAACGACGAATGTAATTGACGAGATAAAATCGGACAAGTCTTAAGTTATCGACATAATGGTCGATAAGAAACAACAAGAAATGAACTAGTGTGAAATCTGTAAGAATAACTAAAAATGTGGAAAAATCAGTTAAAAATGTTAAAAAATGACTTAATAAGTAACAAACACCAAAAAAATGAAAAAAAAAAATGGAAAATAAAAATTAGTTATTTGGATTCACATGCTAATGAAACACATTTGTGGCCAAGATACCTATATCAACTAAAAAGTAAAAAAAAAAAAAATGCAAAATGCATCAACTTCCTAGCCCTATTCATGTCCCTTGAAACTATAATTTTCCAAATTTATAGAGATACGAGTGCGATCACGACGTTTTTCTACGACAGGATACGTGAATTCATTTTTATTATTATTTTTAACGTGAGATCAGAATAGTTTGCTTTCCGAATAAATTTGTTTGATTTTGCTATGTTAGAGATATTTTCTATTATTTTAGATTATAAAGCGTGTCAAAGGTACTTATAAAAATGTAATTTAAAGTGATGACAACATTTGAAAATAATTTTTATTGATTTACTATATAAGCACGTTGGAAGTAAGAAGTGGGTGTATAGATTTATATATATATGTATACTTATTTTTTTTCCACAGAAAAATGGTTAATTTCATATCCTATATACGTACCTTTATTTCCGCAGTAAAAAAAAAAAAAATATATGCAAAAATATTATTTAATACATTTAACTACAAACCAGCGAAAACGAAGTTTTATAAATGTTTCCGCATACTGAATTGGAACGGAAACGAACTTTGTTAGCATATTGCGTCAGAACAAATTGGAAGTTTATGCCCCACAGCCGTGTTAACACTTTGCGCATTTTTTCTCTATAATTATGATAAATTAGCGTACAAAATAAACTGAAGGTAATTCGAAATTTATTGATAACATTTTCAACGACTGTCATCGATAATCAACCTTGTATTTTATAGTTTATACAATTTGTTGTAAATTGTAATCGTCAAATAATACGAACGGTCCAAAAGTATTTTTTATTCAACTCTAACATTTGATTCTTTGAATTATAAAATTTACTGAATATCGGTACTTACATATATATTACACGTATATATTTCTATCAATACGTATTTAAAATAAATTAAAATATTAAAGCTTTTTAATTTTATTGCACATACATACATATAATATAATGTATTGAATGTATATAATATTGAATATATAACATCTATTTATTATATTATATTACTCATCTAAAACTTTCAAGTTTACATCTTCCCAAGCATTGTATTTTATTATAGAATCATGATTTATGACCTATGTCGTATAAATACGGGTATTTTTGTACTTCGCATATAACTTTTTCATCCAACATTTTAAAATGTTGTTTAAAAACAAGTTAAGTAAACTAAAAAGTAACTAGAGTGATCTATAACATATATTTGATCGGCTAATGAGCACGCGCTTTCGTTCGGAACGCTTCGTCGAAATATTGTCGACAGTTTGGTTCCGTTCCGATCCGAATCGATTCAGCGTGCGGCAACCTTAACAACACCGATCCGTAGTCTTACATGAACTAATACCATCATTTAATTTTTAAATGTTCTACGACTTGAAGCGTTTTGAAAAAAAAAACCTATTACCGTGAAGTATCAAACATTACACAGCTGTTGTTAATAGTAAATAATTCGTAGTCGAGTAATAACTATATTGGGCGGTTCACGAATTTGAAAAAAAAACCATATCACTAATAGATTAAGGACATTAGTTTAAACGATCAAATACCGTTTCACGATAGTATACGAGCAAATTTCTAATCAAAGAAAATTGAGACAATCGGTTTTGAAAATAAAATAATCTACTCGTTAATCGCTTGCTGCAAATGAAGCGTTTAACAGGTGCGTGGTATTTTGTCGGTAATTCACTCGCTCGGCGAACCGATAAGATAACGCGTTGGAAAACAATGCGGAAACGCCGAAGACTTGTCGGGGGACGATAATTTGAAAACGATGTCGACCGACGATACGGAAACGCGTACGGACCGAGCATGTGTATCACCTACGCCGTTATTAATCGCAACAGTGTGTTTCGATACACAGATCTTCCCGGTTTTAACGGCATGTCCCGACCGGTCATTCGGTTTGTAACAAAACCCGAGGGGAGTCTGCACTAAACATCTTACTGTTTAACAATAAAATTTAGAAAAATGGGTGGGATGCATAAAAGGATTTGCTCGGTTTTATTTCCATATGGGACGTTATGTAAAAAGGAAAAAAATTTATTCGATACGATGTCCCGGTTTAAGGATTTGAAAATCCGGCAACCCTGATCCACGGCCGTGAAAACTGCACAGATGGTTCGTGTAGTGTTCGATCTTTTGAATCGGAATGAAAAGAACAATTCGAAAATCACTTTATATGCGGTTTTTTTTTAATCGTTCGATGGTATTATCTGCAGCTTTGCCCGTGCTCTAGGTGAAAAGTAGATGAACATATAATGTGTGTAATAACTTTTAATTCCTAATACACAACCGGATCAACAAATAACAATGAATCGATATTTTAAAAGATCGGACCATGGAGATCGATTCGAAATGCCCATCACTAATTCCGCTTGGCGGTGCGCGCGTATTATTACGTTATTAATCTTCGGCCGCCGTTGTTCGCGTCGCGTTCGAATTCGATTACAGATCGATAATATTAACAATGATAATGATCAATATTCGAAACACGTCACCCGCGTACCGTAATCGGTCCGTTTGGTATGTGTGTGTGTGTGTACAGGGGCGGAACTAGGGGGTGAAAGACGGGAATTCATCCTTGGACGTAACATTTTAGAGGGTGTAATTTTTGTAATTATTAACAACTGATTTTATTATTTTTAACTTTAACTTTAATACCGATATTACGTTAAAACTCATTAAGTACGATTGTATATTAATCGTTAGAAAAAAATTCTCGAGAAGAGTATTTGATCATTGGTCTATGATAAGGCGTAATTTTAACATTTTCCCCGGGCGTGAAAATCCCTAGTTCCACCTCTACGTGTGTTTGTTTCATTCCTTTTCCTTTTCGTCGTAATATTTCGATCGCGTCGCGCAATCGTGTGGTCCGCTAGAGAGCGCGCGCGCATGGAGGTCGTCGGCCTACGGTCGCGCGCCGCTATTGTCTCGCTGGCGCGCGCGCGCAGGCCCACAGGTGGGGAGAGGAACTTGGTGGTAACAAAGTGTATTGGAAAGGTCCTTTTATCATTATTCATTATCAAATTTAGTCTACTGCGCGTTGTTACACGGCTGGTCGTCGCCGTTCCTGTAGTCGTCGTCGTCTCGTCGTTTCGTCATCTTCGTCGTCGTCGTCATCGTCGTCGTCGTCGTCGCCGTCGTCATTCCGTTGCCGTCTTGACTTCTTCGGTCGTCGCGCGAACACGGTGTTCGCGCTACGCGCACAGGTCAGTGAAACTCAAAAGGCCATCCACGTCACCCCCGCCCCTTCCCATAAACAGATCTACGCGTCACAATACGTCGCAAGTTTCGCCGTGAACGCGCGACGGATACGATTTGCCGCCGAATTCGGAACGGCCACTTCTGTCCGCGGTTTTCGCGCTTTTGCTCGCTGCCAGCCGTACATCTTGATCTCGTTCGTTTCACGCCTAATGGGCCGGTCTGCTTACCGCCTTTCCACATCGTACGATGTCTGTTCGTCCACCGCTGCAACATGAACATCCGTCTCCTATATAAGTGTTCTACTTGCTTTTCGTTTTTCCCTACTCGTACAGGTTCAACAATACAATACGTTCGCGTAACATTTTCAATCTCAAACGGTTTTTTAATTTCTCTCCGATCATTTAGTCGTAAGATTGTTTAATGATACGTTCCTTAACATTCATATTATTATTGTCAATAATAAATCTACACAAATTTGATTAGAAAACTTAATTTAATATTTGTTTACATATTGTGTACGTAATTATTTTTGAAGAGAAAATATTATTTTAAGCTCTTTTCAAAAAATCATTACACTCACAGAACGTTGCTTAAATGCTTTTTATATTTTTAATTATTTTTTAATTGGTGGACTTTTTAAACTATTTCTAGTTAGTGACAAAAGAAGTTTGATCACCAATATAATGTTATAAATTTGATGATTATAATCAAACATGGAGCTACAAAATTGTTTACCTATGAAAACTGGTGATTTAAGTAAGTTATGTTTTATATATTTTTGTGAACTGATTAACCAAATCATAAATTGTTAAAATTATTTAATAATAAGGTAAAAAGTTAATTTTATAAAAACATAAAAACACATTTTTTTCTATGACTAAGTACCTTAAAATCTATGTTCTTACTTTTTAAAAACTATTTCATTAGTTAATTTTATAACTTATCCATTAGATAAATTGTAGTTTATCAATACATTTTAAAAAATATATATGTATACATTTAAAGTTTTATTTTTCTTCATTCTGTTACTCATTGATTAATTAATATTTATATGATAGTTTTATATTAGTAGCTGTAATTGTTAAGTGTTTTTATTATTAACAAATGTTGTTGCATATACTTAAGAACATTTTATAACAAACAATTATATCCTAAAAGATTTTAAGCAGGTGGATTAAGAAATGCCTTTTCAGAATATTTAATTTAGAATGTTTTTCAAATATTTTTAATACTTTCTATAAAACATATTTGTTTTTAAATTTTAATAGTACCTATAAAAATAATATTCTTCATAAAATTGAAGTAGAACATTTTAATTTTTACTTTTGAAAATTATTTATGCATCTATCATTGTTTCATGATTTGGTTTATGTATATTATATATGGTAATATGTTTTTTAATTTGTATTTTATAATTAAAATAAAACAATTTTCAATAAGTATTTAAGATAATTTTTCATGAATAACCTAAATATTTTATTGGTACTTATGGTTTTTTTTTTCGCAATTACCATAACCTGATTGCGACTACCTTGATGTCGAATGCACGCTGCAACGCACATTTTTATAATACATAAAACTTATAAAATAAGTAACCATGTTATTGGTTATCATCAGGACTAGGGTTTGTATGCAATAAAAAATTGTAAATTATGCAATTTATTTACCAAAATATGCAAAAATATGCATTTAAATTTTTATAAGATAAACACAAAAATAAAGTTACAAAAAAATATTTATTTATTGAAATACATAAGTTGGCTGTTTATCTTAATACAATATAATTGAAAAATAAAATAATTTAGAAATAAAATGTATAATTTACATTCACTACATGTGTTACTATATGCTACGAGCACATATTTTTAAATTTTTGAAAATGAATAATCATCGATTGAATTGTAGTATCGCTTTGTATTGACTGAAGCTTCGTTCAACATTACATGATGTAGTTGGCGAATTAAACATTCATTTTTCGCATTCTTATAATCAAAATATGCAACAATATTCATTTTATTCAATATATGCAATAGTATGCATTTTATCCAAAATATGTAAAAACATGCAAAATAAAAACATCACCATTTATTTCATCATGAAGTGATTCGTGGATATTACTGACAAAATCAATAATCAGAGGTCTCAAAAAAAAAAACATGCTGTTGCATACAAATCCTAGCCTTAGTTATCATGTTAATTTAATCAAGTTTTCACATTGTGTCCATTTGAACAAATTCATTTTTTGTGGTAAAATGCTGTTTTGTTTAAAAAAGCTACCGCTTATTTTTTCATAATTGACAAGCCCCACAGGTCCATTGCTAAATAACCGTAAGTACAAAGAGAACCGTAAAACAATTATTACTACCAAAGTGGTCGTGACTATTATAACGTTTTTAATCGAACCACCAAAATCCACTTTCCTAAAAATTACTCAATCAGTCTACCAAAATTAACAATAAATACCATATAATAACTCCGTACCCTGCAAAAAATCCATCAATTGCAATAAAATTGTAACGACATTGAAAAAAATATAATTCACAGAGTGTAGTAGGTAGTCGCTACAATCCATAAGTACTGTTTTATTGTACTATTTATCTTTTGGATTTAATTTTTGATAGTATTTCACCCAAGTCAGCTTTACAATAATTTAATAATAATAATAAAATTATTTCAAATAATGAATAATGATGCTTATTGATGTCTTAAGGGCATTGCAAATGGTCGATTATTTCAACTAAAACATACCTATCTTTTGTCAATCATACCGATGGATTGAATAATGCGATAAGATTTTTGAAAACTGTTTTAAATTCTTTATAATGTGTACTTTAGATCAATTAGACCAATTTTTCAAATTTTGATTCCAAAAATCTAATAATTTGATTTGAATATTTTAAAATTTACGAAATTTTAAATGTTGATTGTTCTAAGTTAAAATTAAAAAACTTGAAATGTGGTCTAATCGATCTCATGTAGACAAAATAACGAATTCAAATCATTTTTTTAAAAATTCTTATCGCATAACTAAGTTGAACGGTAGGATTGACAAAAATTACATACTTTTAGCACAATAAAACATACGTTCTGGATTGTTCACACGCGCGATGAGGTGTCGGTGACTTGTACGTGGGCGTGCGAAAGATCAAGGAATTGCGGAAGCTACACTAACACTTATGATCATTTACTACGCATACACATATACGCTTCGCACGCACGCACTAAAATAATTGCTTATACCGAACCCCTTAAAAATGATCCGTTTGCAATGCCCTAAGTCTCTTCTACTTCATTAACAGTTAGGATTATGTTTTTTTTTTTTTTTTTATTAATTTAAGTGTATTCTAATGCAATCTACTCAAATACTATCTATATATGAATACGGTGGTTAATATGATCGTCTTCACAAAAAATGTTTTAGGTGTATTTGAATTCCATCAATAAATTGATGTTATATATACATGGACTTTTTGAAAGTATTCGACTCAGTAGTTCATAATATGTTAATCCTTATCTTGGATAATCTGTGTGTGAGAAATCCATTAGTATCCTAGATTCTATTGTACCTCAATGATAGATTTCAATTTGTTGATCTACTTAATAATAATTCTAAGAACATAAAAGCAACATCTAGTACACCTTAAAATGGACATCTGTTACCATTCATATTTAATATTTTTTTTTTTTTTATTGGGTGTTAGAGGCCTCTAGGACCATCCCAACATACATTCAGCCTTCCATCCATCTCGGTTAGCTGCTCGCATCTTCCAATCATTTCCTCCTCCTAGTTCTTCCACTTCATTTTTTACTACATCTTCTCACCTCATTCTCGGTCTTCCAATGGGTCTTTTTTCTGTGGGGTTCTTTTCCAGTACTATATAGAGTAGTGGGTTTTGGTTTCTCCAAGCGTGTCCTGCCCGTTTTAGTCTCTTAGTTCTTATTGCTTCCATGATGTTCAGTTTTTTGGTATAATGAGTCTAATTTTTCGTTTTTCCTTATCCCCCAGTCATTAATTACATTGTCCTTCACAGGTTCGAAAATACTTCTCAGTTTTAAATACCATATTGAAGATAATTTCATCTTGTAGAATACTTTTATTTGCAGATGATGCAAACATTTTTCATAATATAAAAACTCCAAAAAACTGTATTGTTTTACAAAATTCTATTTATTAACTAGTTGATTTCTGTAATTTGATTGGACTTTCTTTAAACTTTAAAAAACGCAAAAATATTATAATTTTTAGAACCCATATAAGATTAATTTCAATTATTTAATGTATAACAAATGCCTTAAGTAGATCAAGTTAAAGATTTATAATTTATATGAGGATTTACATTAGTACCATATTTATCGTTTAGTATTCATGTCGAACAAAGGAAATTTCCTCTTAACATTATTCATATCATTATTACGACCAATTTTGGATTACGGATCTGTTATATAGTCATATAATATACAGTAGAAGCCGCTTATTAGGAACACTTTAGGACCAAGGTGAAATGTGTCAATTAACCGATTGTTTCTAATAAACGATTGATTTTATTTATTATGAAAAAAACTATTTACTATAAAAAAAAAATAAAAAAAATATATATGCTAAGTAAAATATGCGTTTAATTTTGTCTGTTGTTTTTTCGTCGAGTAACTTGATAATCATGGTTTTATAAGAATAATGTTGCTCAAAGCCTTTTTCATCTGCATGGTGCAGAACTACACTCCTGAAGACACTTATAACTTCTACAATTTCTTTACTTAATGGGATGCCTCACATTTTTCTTTTTCATCGTCAGTGACAGCATATTAAATTATTTGAGGATTCATAACCGCATTACAAATCTCTTCTTTTGCTGGAACCTCTGCAACATTGAGGTGTGAGTCCACGTCGATACAATCTTCGTACACTTTTTCCAAGAATTCGCTGGTTTCGATTGTAACGATATAAGATAAAGTACATTGTATTACAATACATTTGTTATCGCCAAGTAACCAGAATTTTTTTGGACGACTATTGTTGTTTCTTATTGTTTCAAACAACCTATGTGTTTCAATAATTCGATTGATTTAAGCTCGATTCACACTAGCGGTCTCGGTTCGCTCCGATCACGGTCAAGGATTATGATGTACAGTTCTCACTACCGGTCACAATCAGTCAAGTTCTATTTGCACGTTGCCACAAAGTGTACAATAGTGTTCAAAAAACAATAAAAACAATAGATATGACCGAGATTAGCGCGGCAGTTGACTATTAACACTAAATGGTCTCGATCAAAAAGCTCGTGACCGCAGCTGTCTGGATCGTGCATCGACCAGTCGAAACTTGACCGGACCTGACCGTGACTTGACCGTGATCGGACCGTGACCAGACCGAACCGAGACCGCTAGTGTAAATCGAGCTTTACAATGTTTTAATATAAGGCCGATCCGTCCCTAGATATTTTGTTTCAATAACGCGATTGTATTAACTATCCTTGTTTCTAATAAACGGCTTCTACTGTATTCAGAAAGATATTCAAATATTTCAAAAACGCTTTCTTTCATTTATTGTTTATATTCTAAAAATTACTCACTCTCCTCATAATTACACATCAATATCAGAATTTTAATTTATTTAACCCTGAATTCAGAAAATACGCCATGTATAAGATTCATTAATAATTTAGTTCTTGATAAGATCGATGATAACTGTCTACTCAGTTGGATTAAATTTCATTGGTTCCTGTAATAAACAGATTTTTTAAATCAACTTACTTATAAAAAAAATATTTATGTAACAACTCTATCCAAAGAACCATGCCTTTAATTAACTTAGATTCTAGTCTAAAGATTTTAGTCATATGTTAATTGTACAATAAATCTTAGACTCAGAGTACACAACATTTTGTTTTTAATTTGTTAAAATTTATATTAATTATATTATTAATTTGCATGTCTTTCACTATTTTAATTGCATATTACTATTCAGAATTGTATATATGTATATCTATATTAATATTATTTTTAATTTTACCAACATTTATGTATTTTTCTTTGTAAATTGCTGTCAGGCCTAAGAATAAATAAATAAAATATTTATTATTAAAGATAAATAATTATTATTTTTAAAAAAAAATTTTTTTTTATAATTTTTTTCAATATTATAATAATTTAAAAATAAGTCACTAAATTAAAATTAAAATATTATTCACTTATTTCTTGTATTATCGCTATAGATTATCAATTAAATGAAATTAATGACCCACAAGATATCTTAAACAATACACAAGGATGGAACCCAATGCCATCGCACGATATTATGGTACCAGTTCCAATAAAAATGCAGCCTTCACTTGGTATTCTAGATCCAAATAATCTCCAAATAAATACGTCATGTCCACACCCAAATGTCATTCATACAAGTCCCCAGACACCAAATATTGTAAGTTTTGAAAATGTAAGCACTGAATTAAATATACTTATACTATCATTTATGATCATAATAATATATTTATATATATATATATATATATATAATAATTTTAGAATGCACCAATAAATACATACATTGAGCCCGATTTGCCACCGGAAATTTTGCAACAGGGATGGAATAAATTTTGGAGTAAGCGTGAAAATCGGCCTTATTTTTGGAACAGGTTAACTGGTGAATCTCTTTGGGAATTTCCACCTCTAAGACAAGTATATATGAACCATAAATTTAGTATTAAATTATTCTAATTATTCAATTTTTAGTTTGACGTCACGTCAGACCCTCTGGGAATAACAAATGATGGGCACCACAGTGAAATCAATCCAATTTTAATGAAAAAAAGACCTGCTGAAGAAATAGTCATGGGTCCTGCTACAAAGAAAATGATATTGATGTAAGTTTATTTTCTGTAGAATTCAATATAATCATATCTAAAATGGCTTACAAAATTAAATTTTACTAATTAATAAGTTAAATACTAATATAAAATACAATATTTTAAAATGTAAACATTCAAATGTAATATATTATTTAGATAACTTAATTATAAAATCTAGTAAGATTCGTAAAAATAATTATTACATTTTTTTATATTGGTATTGGTTTAATTTATACTATCTGTAAGATAATAAATTAGTGAATTAAAACTTTCACTGAGTTAGTTGAAAATTTAAACTTTAATTTAATAAAAATAAAATAATTATCTATCTTTTATCAATTAGATTTAATTGTGTTAAGTTTATAAATAATCACTAAAAGCTATTTTACTTTATTATTATTAGAAAAAATGTAAACCCTCTAATAAATATTGTACTATTTTTGTCTATGGTTTTTATTTGAACAATTTATAATTTTAAAAATATAAATCTTATATATTATAAAAATAATATAAACAATTTATAATCAAAAATATTTTTTTATAGTGGTCCGTGGGAACTTGAAATACCTACAAATGTCATTATATATGAGAGGGCACCATCCACGCTGTCTCAACCTCATCCAGATATTGAATCTTATCGTGGCCATTTGGTTTCAAAATTAAGGCAATGCTACCAAGAACTTTGTCAATCTCGAGAAAGTAGGAAATTTAATATTTTTCTTATACAATTTTATAATACACTTTATTTTTTAATTACTAGATATTAATGCTCCAAGAGAATCATTCAATCGTTGGCTTATTGAACGAAAAGTAATTGATACTGGTAGTGACCCTTTATTGCCCTCTCAATGTTTTCCGGAAGTATCTTTAAGAATGTATAATGAAATAATGGATGATATACCATTGAAAGTGTTAACACCAAAATATACTGCTGATGCTCGCAAACAACTATCTATTTATGCAGAGGCAGCGAAAAATCTTATAGAGTCGAGGTAAATTAATATTAAAAAAATGTAATTCATATTTTATGAATTTGGAAATTGTTCATAATAGTTATAAAACCTACTATATTCTAAAACATCCTAAACGATCTGAATTACCACATTCTGAACAGGGCCAGCCCATGATATTTCGACGCCATGGGTAATTTTTTGAAAGATGCCCTTATACAGATTCTCTTTAATATATTAAATAAATTTTATATTTACTTACATATTTTATTTAAAGTTCTTATATTTATGAATAGGTAAAATATTGTAAAATGTTGTAAAACTTATTTGGATACAATTTATTTTTATTATTTATAATGAATATTTAATTAAAATTATTTCTTTAATCGTACAATATAATAATCTTAATACATTTTTCTAGATTTTAAATTAGCAAACTTTTGTATTACTTCAATCAGATCTAATTTAAAAACTATATTATTTTCTATACTGATTAAATTCAATTATTGAGATGTTAATTCATATATATTATTTTTTATGTTTATAATAGATTTGAAAAAATTATGAAATTTTTGGATATTTTTCTACCTGTAATTTGTTTTTCTAGTTTTCTTTTATGATTTTGATAACCACTAGCTTTTTTTGGTGCCATTTTTTTTCTACCAATTAATATATCAAATAAAATTGTATTAACTTATGAGTGCTGTTTATAATTTATCAATACAAAGTGTAAATTCAAAAATGTTTCTATAATTTAAAAATACTTACATATTTTAGACTGATAACGACAGCACTGCTAACTACTGTTCAACTTCATTAGCAAGAAAAAAATGTGAACTAATTTTACATCGTATTCGTATACAAATACGAATCTTTATCTTTATAAATAACGACAGTAAATTTTATGATTAATAACTATAAAGGTAACCAACACAGTCTGTGCCACAGACACTGTGGCGACAATCTTATATTTCAATCGTATCTGCTGTAACACAAACTTTTTTGATTTTTCTGAATTAATGATTATATATTTTTATATATTATTTTTAAATTATTTGTAATATTACAGTGGAAAGTGATTTATAATTTATAAAAAAAATTATGTAACAGAATATTCTGTCCTGGGTAATTTTGAAATATTGTCAATTTAAATAAATATAACACTTAAATTTATAAAATATTCGTATATTAAAGGCACCCGTATAAAAATAGCGAACTAGGCAATCGTCCAGTTCGCCCATGTCTTGGGCCGGCACTGATTCTGAATAGTTTTGATGAATATATGTCAAGTATTTGTTTTATATAGCATGACTTTTTTTCAAATAATTCAACAATTTCTATAGTATTGTGTTATACTTAAGTGAAAAAAATATATAGTAAAATTAATTGATTGTTAAATATTTAATCATTTATTATTTATTGATTTTTTATATCAAAACTCTTGTTATTTTAAAATATATAATTACCCTACTGTTTTATTAACTCATTTATCTTGTAGAAACACAATGCAAGAAAGTAGAAAAGTGGTTAAGTGGAATACTGAAGACACATTACAGTGGTTAAGAAAAACAGTTGGTGCAACATATAGTGATTTCCAAGAACGATTAAATCATTTAAAGGTAAATAACTGAAACTCAAATATATTTAAAAGAAACTGGTTTATTAATATTGTTTTACAGGCGCAGTGCCAACCTCATATAGCTCGGACAGTCAAAGATTCTGTGGAAGGTATCTGCACTAAAGTGTATCATTTATCTGTTGACTATGCTCGTAAGATCAAAGACAAAAATAAAGAACTTTTGATGGCACAAGGAATTACAGGTTAGTTAAAAATATATTTTATATTATATATAAATAATATATATCAATATAACTGAGCTGTAATACATTTTATAGTATTACTACTGTCTTATATTTATATACCTTTTTTTCTTCTCTCGTCTTTCTCCCAAATATTTGGGATTGGTCACCTTTGTCCTAAATCTCCAATTGTTTTGATTTTCTAAATTTCCTACCCACACATCAATAGCTCTCATATCATTCTCAATCATATCCAACCATTTTTTTTTCCTGGTCTTCCTCTTTCTCTATTTCCTTCAATGTTCATTTTTGTAACCATTGTTACTACTCTTGTTTCCTTTCGATTCATCACTTGCCCAAATCATCTCAGTCTATTTTTTCTCATCTTGTTCACTATCTACCCTACCCCAATTTATTAGTGTATATATTTATTCTTATATTTTTTTATCTAATATTTAATAATTTTTACATTCAACCAGTGATTTTGCAAATAAAATTGAAAATAATTTTCACTAACAGAAATGTGTAAAGTATTTTAGTTTTTTATATTTTTCAAATAGAATAATTAAGTACCAATTTTTATTAAAATGTTTAACATTTTTCTTTATTGAATTTAAAATATTTTAGAAGAAAAAATTCTTTTAAAGTATTTATGATAATTTAGTTTAATCATAGTCATATTTGAAAACAATTATTAAATATATTTGGCACATTGCTTTAGTATGACCAATAAAAAAAAAAGTTCAAATCTATTTAATGTTAAAAAACAAAATAGAACTATATACTTATTATTATTGACTGAAATATAACTACCATTAATTTGCCTTATTTTTTTGAATTATGATGTACTTTATTTGAATAGTACCATATTCAAATTTGTATTTATACTATTCTAGAAATGTCACCTGCTCCTGCTGTATTAACTCTTCATAAAGTTTGGTGTTATCCGGTACAATTTATAACACCTGCTCCTCGTCTACCTCCTGTTGAATACATGGCTGATAAAGAGCAGACTTATGTCCGATTCAATGGTGAAAGGTTACTAATTAATACAGTATACCTCCAGAAACTGGTAAGTGATATGATGAGTATAAGTACTAGCTTTAACAATACTATCAACAATTTTTTTTTTTTGTTAAAAATATTTGATTTAATTAATTTATAGGAACAATTATATCGGTACAGCTGTTTTGAAGACAAAAAAATGGAAAATTTCATGGCCAGAGTTTGGTGCTTGTTGAAAAGATACAATTCATATTATGTTAACATTTCTGATACACAAGTATCTCTGCCCGTGTCCATTTTAGAATCTCTGCACAAAAATTTTGGGGTAACATTTGAATGTTTTGCATCTCCATTAAATTGCTACTTCCGACAATATTGCTCAGCTTTTCCGGACACTGATGCTTATTTTGGATCTCGAGGGTTTGTTTAAGTTTAAGTAGAAATGATAAAATTTCCATATTTTAATCAAATTAATATTTTTGTGGTATTTTCAACTTTAATTTTTGTACTTAGATCAATTTTGGATTTGAACGCTGTTAGTGGATCTTTTGTAGTTAATCCACCAATGAAATGTGACGAGCTAATTGAAGCAGCTTTAAATCACATTGACAGATTGTTGACTGAATCCAATGAGCCACTTTCTTTTGTTGTAATGCTTACGGATAGTGAGTCATCATTTGTCAAAAAATTAGATTCTAGTCTGTATAAACGACGTCAGGTCGTGGTACCGGCTTATGAACATTTTTATAGACATGGTTTCCAGTATAATATACCAAAGTATGTATATGCAACAATATCAGTATTATTTATAATGTTTTATTTATTTTTTTATTGGTTTTTCAGATCTGAAGTTAATATACGGTCTCCAACAAGCACATTGGTAGTATGGCTTCAAAATAATGCTGGTTGCCAAAGATGGTGCCCTAGCGAAGATAGAGTTGAGGCTTTGTTAGAAGCCTTCCGACCAGTACGGGAACGTGACCGTGATCGTCAGGAACTTCTGTCACCAACGCCCAACCCTCTATTAGGCCCTCAGCCACTTCCTGTTTAAAGTTAATATTTTAAATTATATATGTAAGTTATACTAATATAAGTTAAATATATCATATTATATATATATATATATATATATATATTATTGCATACCTATAAACGATTGAAAATTTCAATGTCTATATATAAATATTTTATATTTATGTGCATTATATACATTATTGTATATAATGTATAATTATCATATAATTTTAGTTTATACTTTTAATGTATATTTTATTTATTTATATTCTTATAAATATTACTTTTTACTGTATGCAAGCTTGGAGCCATTATTATAATTGTTTGAATTCCTTATCCCTAATCAATTGTAACTTTGATTGTATTTTTTAATATAAAAAAAAAATATTTTCAGAATTTTATTTATAGACAAGATTAATTTTCTTTATGTATAATTTAATATAATAACTACCATAAGATTATTAAATATTCTATTGTTTAAGTGGTAGAAAGTAAATTTAAATAACATTTATATCAGAATTTCGTCCAAATATTCATAATTGCAATGGAAATTTTGTTCTTTAGATGATAAATGTTTTTTAAGGGCAAATAATAATTTTCAAGTGTACATTTGAGAAAATCGAATTAATTTTATTTAAAATTAGTCAATACTAATTTAAAAAAAAAAAAGAAAACAGTACCCTAATTTAATTTTTTTGTAATATTTCTATTTTATTAACCTGCATTTATTAATTTACAAGATGAATTTCATTGTAATTATGTAGTATAGAGTTAAGTTTTTATTACTTTTGAATCTAGCTATCCAACCAAACATGAATAACTAATTTCTGAAAATGTAATAAAAACTTGTTTGAAATACATACCTTATATTTTTTACAATTGCACATATGTACTTTAAAGTTCTAATACTAATTGATCTTTTTTAGCGGTCTTTCATGAGTACTTACCTATAAAGTGTTTCATTATTGATTTCAATGTTATAACTTATTGTTGCCATTGCATTATATATATTTATATTCTTAAACATTACTATATACAAACATCATATTTATCTTTTAGATATTTTGTTTGATTTTATTTCCTTCACCCACTATTCTTAGTTTTTTTTTTTTTTTTTTTATCTTCAATTTTCATTCAAAATTTATTATTTTATTATGGTTATTTATAATTAATATATTTAAGCGATATAGTTTAATAGTTTATAGTTTGTATATTGTAGTTACATGTTGATAGTGTTAGGTCATTTTAATGGCTGATAATTGATGTATACAAAACATTATAATAGTATTATGGTTATGAAAAAATATCTATTAAGAGGTTATTATACTCTGTTATGTTATTAAGATTTTCTTTTGATAATTCAATTCATTATTTTTCAATCCACATAAATTTTAGTAGTATTATTTTTCAAATTCATTATCATTGTTTGAACATTATTTTAGTTTTAAATTTGTTAAATTCTTCATACTGTACAGATTTTGCCAAATGTTTTGTGTTCTTGTACTTATATATTTATGTATTGTATTAACAATGTATATCTGTTTTAATGCATTGTAAGAGATAGTTAATAATTAAAAATAAACTATGTAATCACATTGTTTATATTTGTATGTTAAATTATGATTGGATAAATACACAATATATAGTTCACCAACAGATTTTATTGTATACTTATTTATTCATACATTTATATTTTTTTTTACCTGTCTTATCATCTTTTAAGTTGTGCATATAAAGCATGGTTTAAATTTAATTCAATTCATCAAATTGTTAACAACCATTGCTTTAAAAACTTATTGCATTGTTTTGTTTTAATAATACAACATATTTTAAGAATTAAGATGTTCTTAAGTAATCTTAGCTGAAAAAATTGAATAATATTATTTTGTCATTCTCCTCAATGTAAGATGTTATTATGATTTTATTTTTATAGTCTTTATTTTACTGTACGAAAGAACTTTTCTCAAAAAAAAAAAAAAAAATTAAATATATAATACACTTCTTCACTAAAAAAATATATTTTTTTTTTTTTTTACTGTGCAGTACAGATGTGTTACCCACAGTTAACGTCTGAAATTTTTGTTTCACAATTCTTAACCATTAATCCAACACAAAACATTAGCAGTTGGCTTGTATTTATGCGGTACCCGGATTTATCTAGATATTTGTATGCAATTATCTTATAACTTTATCTAGATAAATGTTTAGTTGTCTTTGAGCAATACTGTCTATACGTTCTCTCTTCTTTTCTAATAATGTTTATAAAGCAATTCATTATTTCAGTTTACTGTTTGATCTTTGAGATATAGTTTGTATCTTAATAAAATATCATGTAAACTCATCTTATGTTGTAGTTATGAATCAACAGAAATCAAAATTTATACTAACCATATATAGATGGGAGAGTAAAAGGGAAATTTAAATTTAAAAAATGTTTGGGAAGATTTTAAAAGAAGTAAAAAGAGAAGAATTTAATCCTCAGTTATAAAGATTTCATCAGTACATAATATACATTTTTTTTCTTTTAGAAAATAAAATGAATGGTAAATAAAAACTTTTCTAAATATATTTCTAAATTACAATAATATAGGTATGGAACGATTATATAGTTAAATCACACATAGATTAGAGGGTATAACAACACTTAATAAAATACATATAATACATGATATATATTATTCGTTAATAAACGTTACAAATGTATGTAAAAACATTGGTATTTCTCCATCGACAAAAAGTGGACTTGGAGACTTTGAAGGAATTGAATCCACAGCATTTGAATGCTGTGAAACTGCAACAAAACACTTAATTAACAGACTCACATTCTAAAAACATATTAAATTTGATTAACATACTTGGCACAAATAATTGTTCAAAATTAAAATTTAATGATGACAATTCTGCAATTTCTCTTACTGCATCGTCGTTAGATGATAATGCATCTGACGTTGGGAATAATGCTACAAAAAAATAAAATAAATTTAATACTTCTAATTATTATAACATAAAATTAATATTTATACATACATAGACTATTAAAACTAGGCAAAGCATTGGTTTGACTCATACTGTGAGAGGGAATTTCAATATCCATTTTCTCTAAATTCTGTGTGACTGCAATAAAATACATAATACTAGAACTAATACTTCAAGAACACAATTTATTTGATAAACATACTTGGCACAAAAATATGTGTAGAATTCAAATTTAATGCAGGCAATTCTACAATTTCATTTTCTATATCCTCGTTGGATGTTAATATTTCTGAACTTGGGAATAATGTTCTATGAGCTACAAAAAATATATTTGATAATTCTAATTATTATTACAATAAATCATTTCAAGTAAAATTAATATTTATACTTACAGGGACTATTGAAATCATGCACATCGTTAGTTTGACTAATACTGATTAATTGATTTGATTGACTAATACTGTGACATGGAATTTTGTTATCGTTTTTCATTAAATTCTGTGTGGCTGCAACAAAATACACTATGATAAAGGTTATATTTTAAGAATATAATAAATTTGAATAGCACACTTGACAATAACATACTTGGCACAAAATTCTGTTCAAAATTGAAATTGGATGATAATTCTATAGTTTCTCTTTCTGTATCTTCGTCGGATGCTAATAAATTTGGTATTGGAAATAATGTTCTATGATCTAGAAAAAATTAATTATTCTAATAATAAATAAAATCAGTAACATTAATATTTATATTTACCGTGACTGTTAAAACTAGGCAGAGCATTATTTTGATTAATACTGTTACATGGAATTTGAACATCCGTTTTCTTTGAATTCTGTGTGGCTGTCATGAAATACATAATGATAGAATTAATACTTCAAGAATAAAATTGATTTGATAACATACTTGGCGCAAAAATCTGTTCAAAATTGAAATTAGATGATAATTCTATAGTTTCTCTTTCTGTATTATCGTCGGATGCTAATAAATTTGAACTTGAAAATAAAGTTCTTTGATCTAGAAAAAATTAATTATTCTAATAATAAATACAATCAGTAACATTAATATTTATATTTACGGTGATTATTAAAACTAGGCAGAGCATTAGTTTGATTAATACTGTTACATGGAATTTGAACATCCGTTTTCTTTGAATTCTGTGTGGCTGTAATGAAATACATCATGATAAAATTAATACTTCAAGAATAAAATTGATTTGATAACATACTTGGCGCAAAAATCTGTTCAAAATTGAAATTGGATGATAATTCTATAGTTTCTCTTTCTGTATTATCGTCGGATGCTAATAAATTTGAACTTGAAAATAAAGTTCTATGATCTAGAAAAAATTAATTATTCTAATAATAAATACAATCAGTAACAATAATATTTATATTTACGGTGACTATTAAAACTAGGCAGAGCATTAGTTTGATTAATACTGTTACATGGAATTTGAACATCCGTTTTCTTTGAATTCTGTGTGGCTGTAATGAAATACATCATGATAGAATTAATACTTCAAGAATAAAATTGATTTGATAACATACTTGGCGCACAGATCTGTTCAAAATTAAAATTGGATGATAATTCTTCAGTTTTTCTTTCTGTATCCTCGTCGGATGCTAATAAATTTGGTATTGGAAATAATGTTTTATGATCTAGAAAAAAATAAATTATTCTAATAATAAATAAAATCAAGTAACGTTTATATTTATATTTACGGTTATTATTAGAAATAGACTGAGCATTAGTTCGATTAATACTGTTACATGGAATTTGAACATCTGTTTTCTTTGAATTCTGTGTGGCTGCAATAAAATACATAATAATAAAATTAATACTTCAAGAATAAAATTGATTCGATAACATACTTGACGCAAAAATCTGTTCAAAATTGAAATTGGATAATAATTCTTCAGTTTTTCTTTCTATATCCTCGTCGGATGCTAATAAATTTGGTATTGGAAATAATGTTTTATGATCTAGAAAAAATAAATTATTCTAATAATAAATAAAATCAAGTAACGTTTATATT